TTAGTCAGCGAGGACACCAATCAGTAAGCAAAAAATTAAGCCCATCGGCAACCATTGAAAATGACGACCCCACTCCAAAAAATTGGTAAAAAAATTACCCTGCCGAATCACGGAAGAAATAAATTTCAGCAACCTTGTCGAGGAGATATAAGGAATAGATATCTTCCTCCTCCAAATCAACTTTTGCAGAGAACGTTATCTATTTAAGAGGACCTTATGTCGAACCTCCTAGACACCTTGCCAAAGAGGCGTTGTACCATCAGGACACCCACCAGTTAAAAACTTTAAACTATTTTAAATTTTCTTTCAAATTACAAAATTTACAAAAAAAAAAATGTTTAATCATTCAAACAAAAATCATTTAAATTATGGAAAACTTTTAGACAATTTCAAATTTACCCTATTTTTTTCAAATATTTAAAATAGCAATTAAAACATTTAGAAAGAAAAATAAAATTTCAACCAATAATTTTCAATTTAATCGATTGAATTTAATTATTAGATGAAAATTGTTTTACACATACAACCTACTAGCATGTATGTATTTTGATAAATTCATTAATGTTTTTGTATATATACACACTACATACAATGTACATACTTATTTTAATTAAAAATGACCACAAATTTTCAAATTTTCCAAATAATTATGACAATGCCATTGAAAATTTAATATAGAAAATATGTTGCTCAATATTAAGTAATTATACAACATTTATGTTATATTGTTATACTATATGTATAACAATATTGAATGTTGTATACGCTACATTATGCATTTCAATATTAAATTTTAAATGTTTTGCATATAGTAGCACTAATTTAGTTAAAAGGTTTCTAAAAATTTTCATCTCTTTCTTTCATATGGAAAAGAAATTTTTTCAATTTTCCAAATTAAAAATAATTAACAATAGGTAACAATCAAGCAAATAAGTGCAAACATTAATACTTAATATGCATGTGTATATAACTTAACTATACTCTCATAGTTTCACATTCATTCATATATATATGTACATATGCAAGTATATAGGAAAATTAAATACCTGGAAAGTGTCAAATTACATAAAACTTATAATTTATCACATTATAAAATTTCAAAATACAATAAAATTATTATACTGCAAAAATGAAATTACAATAATTATATTTTCATGTATATTTATGCAAATGTACATAATGTTTGTATGTATAAATTTTATATATATATGGGCGTATAATTGTACAATGTTATAGGTTAATCAAAAGAGTTAATTAAAAATTAAAGTGAAAAATATGCCAACATTTAAATACAAAATAGATGCATACATATACAATATATGAACTACCAAATACTAGAAGATGTTCCAGTTATATTAATGAATTAAACTCAATTTTTGTATACAATGTTGGTTATACTCAAAAAAGAAATTCCAACTTTGACCCTCATAGCTCAAGAAGGAGAGAGCAAAAAGCTAAATATCACTTGGTGTTTTTTAATACTAGTTGAAGGAGGCTTTCTCTGCTTCGAGAGTGGCATCGAATCTCGTACACCCTGCTACATACATTACCTGGCTCACGCCGCACTTACTCAAAAACAAAAATTTGGAACACACTTTTATATTAATACTAAAAATATACAAAATTTCTTATACCTTATATATGCCTCTACGTACATAAGTATCATACCTATATACATACCAATATAGACATATAATCATATACTTATGACTATAAAATTTTGTGGAAAAATTATGAAAATATTACCACTTATTTATAAGTACAGCCTCGAAAAACTGGAAAAAACATGCTCTATATATGAATTTTAAATATTGTTCTACATAATATAGAATTTTTGAAAAAAAAAAAAACTTATCTAATAGAAAATTATGTTATAGAATAGAAATTTTAATATTTTGATTAATATGGCCGCAAACATTCTTGTTAACTACTCATATACACAAGTATGCATGTATACATATACATACATACATATGTACATACACTTGTATGGTTTAAACTTATAAAATTTTCATAATTTTAATTTTCTAAATATGTAGTTATTTGGAACAGCTGTGGGGATTTGTTAAATTATTATAGATTATGTAATTTATGAGAATTTAATATTTTTCATACAAAAGCAAATTATCCATAATAATTTAAATTAGTATAATAGAAAAAAGTTAGGCCTTAATTAAGAATTTTTTTTAACTAAAATATCAAGGTTATAAGGAACGCTTTCTATTTTATAACCCTATAGTTTCTTGTTACTTTACGATATATAGAGAAAATAGCTTCAATTTCCGAAAACTCTGACTTGAACTAATGCACCTCGTTGTCTCTACGTTATATTGCACTACACATTGCACATAAGAAAAACTTCCACTATAAATCACTTTTAGCGTGTTTGCAAAACTATTACAATTATACAATATTAATTTTGCAATATTTTCCATTTAATAATTTTTTGTTCACTTTAGATTTAAACTACATACATACATATATATTTAAATCGAACTATAGAGCTAAACGAATATCAAATTTAAGCAATATAAATTCATTGCAGCATGGGTTAAATGCGGCTCATTATTAGGATTTTTTTATTCAAAAAAATTCTTTTTATTCCACTTGGCAACAGGCTATCATTACATGCGCCCAAACTTTATCGTACTTGTGCGAAACAATAAAATTTTTAAATATTTTTCTTCATTTTATCCTTTATTTAATTTTACCCTTATAATGAGAGAAAAATAAATTTTCCTACATTGTAACTGTACATTTTAAATTGTGTGTAATTTAAAAAAAAAAAAAACCAAAAATTCTCCTTTTCTGTTATTCTCTTTTTGTTATTTTTTTCTCTCTATTCTACCACATTCTAATCGATTATTTTTGTAATTGATATCGAATAATCAACAACAGTAAATTTTTACTGATTTGACCTAATTCCAATATGAAAATGTAAAAATTAATTTTTTTTTATTATTATTATTACTGTTCATCTGTAAATTTACAAATTGTATACATATATGTATGTATGTTATGTGTATATGTATGTACTACATAATTACGATAAATTTTATAATTATAAATAAATTTGACTACTGATTATTTTAACTATATCATTGGAGCATTTTAATTATGAGTATCGAATTCAAATAACAAAGCAAATCGAATTACTAACCTAAATTTTATTTAATTTTCCCCTACTTTTTTTCTTCTTCTTTTTTTTTTATAAATGTAATCTGATTAAAAACTTTTTGCAAATTACTCTATATACACTTCCATAAGAACACTTTGAATGTAAATTACTTGATAATTTCATAAGTATATATATATGTATATATATGTGAGTATATAACTGTCATAATATTATGTACATAGGTACTGAGATGATTTGATGATCGATACAAGCAAACAAAGGATATTTTGTTCTTTATAATATAGAAAGTGAAAATACATAAATTAAAAAGGAGTAGGAACGTTTCACTCGATTTACACCGACTAATTTATACCCGCGCTTTAACAATCTGAGCATAAAAACTTGTTTTTCAAATATTTAATTCTAGATTTTTAGATTGTATGGCAGCTATCCGAACCTGTCAAGTAATTCCATAAAAACTTCAAAGATATATCTGAACTATATTTTGAGACACGGCGGCCAAATTTCAGGCGGCCGGTTTTATTTTTTTTTTTTTTGAATATTTAGAATTTACTTTTAGAATTGTATAGCAGCTACCTGAACCTGTGCAGTCATTCCATTAAAACTTTCAGAATATGTCTAAAATGTTATTTAACACACTATAACAAAATTTCATAGTAAAATCAGAGTTCAGAGTATAAACAAAATACAGAAAATACACAGTCGGAAATTATTATACTTACTAAGAATTATAAATTAATTTAAAATGAAATTAAGAATTAAATTAATTAAAATGAAATTAAAAATTAAATTAAACTTAGGTAATACTCGCATAAGTATACGACAACATCTAATTTGTCGTATATGTATTATTTTCATATACTACAAAATTTAATCAGAGTGTTTATCCTCATCAAATTACCTGTCGGATTTTTTAAAAGTAAAATTGCGACAATTAATTTTTTGTTGGGTTTTTGAGCAGCGATAAGGTAATTTTTACTTTATAATTTATACTTTATAATCTTTACTTTATAATTTCCGTAGCAACTTTCTAAATTTCGACAGTTGTCAGATTTTGTCGTAGATATAATCTTAGATTTTCTCCTTGATGAAAACGGTACGTCATTGAATAGATTCAAATTATTAACTGTCTTATTCAATGTTTGTTGATATAAATGTATGTAGCTCAATTCTGAATTTTTTTAGAAAAATCGACTCCATAGCACATACTACGACATAATACAATAACTGAATTTAGATGAAAGAATTTGAAAATTCCTTAATTTTTAGAGAAATTATTAAAATACAGAAATTTTATTTAAAGTTTAGTTAAATATATTTTGTCATTACTTACCGATGATTAATTGACCTCAAAGTTTTTGTATGGTTCCAAAAAACGAGCGTCATAAATTGAAATTTGATGCGATAACCTGAAAAAGAAATTCGACTTTATTATTATTATATAAAAGGCTATAAAAAAACAAGTTTTTGAGAAACAGAAGAGGAAAGATTTCTGGGAGGAGGTCTAATAAAATCGTTATGATGATTTCTAACTGAGTCTGGTTCAAACTAATGGAGTTGAGATTGGAACACTCTAGCGTCGTTAAAATTTAATTCTTATCGAAAAAGCATTTGTAGGCAAAATAGCAACATGCACGTACATTTATATCGCCGGTCTTCTTTTAAAAATTCCATTAACATTTTGGCTATCAAACAGCTTAGAATTTATAGTACATGAAAACTTAAATTCGAAAATGGTGTTATTTTTTTCTTTGTTAATTAAGATGTTAAAATTATTTTCTTTTAAAATTAATTAAAAGCATAAAAAAAATTTCAATATTTTAAAAAAAAAATTTTACCCATCTTTTTTTCTCCTTTTTAGATCCAAACCAATATTGACTATTAGCAAATCGGTAACAAAAGTTGATGGTCAATTTGTATTTGAAACAGAAAAAGCAAATGTTCATAATAAATTATTAAAGCAAATTCAATCGGGTGTTAAATTAAAGCCAACAAAATGTAATGATAGAAGTAAACCGATATTAGAAGGACTACGTAAATTCAGACGTCAAATGACTATAGAGGAACAAATACAAAAATCTGAATCAAAAGCAGTTCTAAATCAGGTAAACAAAATTTTAAATTTATATTATTGTATATATGTATATATATATATGTGTACTATATATAAGCAATATAGAAAATATTGAAAATAAAATTACTAAATTTTCATGTGGCATGTAAAAGGTTCTTTGTGCCCTCTATTGAAATTAAACACAAAATTTAAAGTAAATAAAAATTAGTACATGACAAATTTTCAAAATTTGTTTTTTGTGTTTCCTTAAAGTTTACAAAGGATATTTTAATTCAACATAAAATTTAATATGTGTACAAAAAAAATTAGAAATTCTTATAACCTTTTTTTTTATTTAATTAGAGATTTAAATAAAATTGAATTAAAGTAGCTAGCTATACGCTAAAATCTAAGTTCCAAAGAATTTGAGTACCAAATATGCACCAAATGAAATTTATAAGTTGAAAAATTTCTTCTGGCAAGTGCAAGTATGTATTTGAAAAATCCTAACATTTGTCTTAGAAAATGGTTGTTTAAGACCGTAAAATGGAATTTTTAGCAATAATTTAATTGACCAATTAATTTAATGGACCAATTTGTGTTCAAGAGTCTAAATATTATATTTGGAATTCCTAAGAAAATTTTTAAAAAAATTTCTCTTCTTCCCTGGGTTTGTACCCAAGTATGTATTGTTTGCAACTCAACAAAAATATTTAAACTTTTATTTAATCATTTATTACACTTTGACTTGCCTCAATTGTCTGCATCATTGAAATGTTTTAGATATTTATTTTTTATTTTCAGTCAGACTTTTTCAGAAATTTATAACACTCAATAATTTATTTCAAATTCACACGCATTAAATTAAGTAATCAGTCTTAATAATTCCCTTTTATAGCTAAGTATGTACACAAAAACAATGTAGAATTAAGTTGGCACCTCACTATACTAAATGTACTACGTACTCTATTAAATACTAAGTACCTTTTACATACATACGTATACATATTAAGTATTTGCTTTGAAATAAATTGTCGCACAAATAATATTGAAAAATAATTTCAAATATAAAAACTTTTTATTCAAACATCAATACCATGCAAAAGAAAAAAAAAATTTAAGAAAAAACCATTATAATAATTTCTTTCTTGTTATACGCAATATTAAAGAAGTCTCAAGACAAAATAAAATATTTTAAAATTTAGGTCATGACATTCAAAGAAACAAGGATCTGATACCACATACGAGTATGTACGTTCATATTCGTATGTATGTACAGATAATGTCTTTAAACTCGGAAAACTTAAACTGTTCTTTTGGGAAACAAAATGCTTTAGAAACTTCAAGAAAAAAAATGTTTAAATGCTAAGATGCTATGTGATTGTGACGCATACATTTCTGTTTAAAATTTTCTACCTGGATATTTTTATTTTATATATATTTGATAATTTTTACAAAATATCTTCGTTGTAATCATATTTTATAAAATGTATGAGAAAAAAAAATAAAAATTTCAATTCGATTTTATAATTCACAGTTGATTTTTTGATATCCGTACATAAGTAAAATATAAAATTAGAGTATTCTTATCGCTTCTCGGCCTTATGGCTAAGATCAAAGTGTAGTATCTGTTCTTATCAGCTTAACATCTGATAGACTTCAAAGAAGTCACAAATGTTAACCTGATTTTTGGAAATAGATGGAGTGCTAGGGGCTTGCTCCACCTCTATCACGGGTTGGAGTATTGCAGTACAGCTAGGAATTCGGCCCAATAAATATTTCAAAAATAGTTAATTATTTAAAATTTTTAAAAAATGTTAAAAACGAAAGAATTAAAAATTCGGACTAATACGTTTTATGCAAATTCGGTAATTATATTTTTGCCGAAAGAAATTTTACCTAGATTAATTTCGATTTTTATGTTCAAACTGTTTACGTAAAATGAATTTTCCCCGTAACCAAGAAATTTTTTAATTCTGTAGTCAAAAATTCTAATATTTTTCTTTAAATTTTATCTTAATCCTTTCTCTTCAATTTTTCTTGTTTTTCGTTAATATTTCATTCTTCTTTTTCCCCCTTTTTTTGTTTTTATTCGATTAAATATTTTTACTCATTTATTTTAATTTTAAACCATCCCTTTTTTTTATTATTGCATTTTTTTACTTTTTATTTATTTTTTTTAATTCTTATTTGTTTATTTATTTAAGGCTGCTGTTCCAAATGAAGTTCTAGAGGATAGTCCTGATGAAATGGATGATATCGATAAATTAAGAGATGATTTACAAAGCACAAAACAGATGCTAGCTTTAGAATTACGAAATAAAGAAGCTCAAGAACGTGAAAATAAACGTTTATTAGCAAAAATTGCAAATTTAGAAGCTGAATTAGCAAATAAAGGCGGTGGTAGCGGTGATAGTGGTGGTGGCGGTGGTGGTGGTAGTGTTGATGATAAGTTAGTTAAACAATATAAAAAGGATGCTGAAGATGCTAGAAAAGAAACAAAAACAATAGAGAAAAAATATAATGATACTGCTGAAAAGTTAGATGTAGCTAAAGGTCAAGTAGAAGAACAAAGAAGGAAAATAATTGAATTAGAGAAGAAACTAATGCAAGCAGTACAGGTAAAAAGGAATAAATTAAAAATAAGGAATAAAAAAATCTTTATTCTTGTTCGTTTTTGTTTTTAATGGGAAAACAAAAGCAACAGGAAAATATTAAAATTAATCAATTCTTTTTTTCGGGGTCCGTTTTATTTAAATAAAAAACAAGGATTATCTATACATATACAATTTTTTTTTTGTAAGGATTACAATCAGTTCTTATGTATAGATATTTGACAATTCAAATAACAAAAGAAATTCGAGAAGAAAAAATAGAAATAAATTGCATAATTTTCTTTAATAGGCAACCCAAAAAAAAATACCAGAGTAAATACAAAAATATTGGTTTTCCTTTTTTTATTTGACAAGTAGAAATTCAAGGTTACGTTGAAAAAATTTAAAAACAAAAAACTACTTAGAAATAAATTCTCTGCTTTTTAAATGTGAAACGACTCAAAAAATATTTAAGGATTGTTGAAAAATTAAAAATAACAAAAATAAGGGAAAACAAAAATTTCAAAAATTTTTTACTAAAGTTTTTGAGAAGTAAGACAAAAAATTTATTCAAAAAATTTCATGGTCATTTTATCAAGGCAAAAACAAAACCAAAAGGAAAATGAAATTCCTAAATGAATAAAAAAAATAAAAATCAATACTACTCCGAACCGAAACACTTTTACTTATACTCAATGAATTTTAATTACTAAATTAAACTGGACTACACTGGCCAGCTCTAATAATTCAGAAATCATGCCGAATATGTTTACAATTACAATAGTTAAAAATTATAACGAAGTTAACGAAATATTTACGAATGTTTATTTTTAATGAAAACTTTAAAAATCTTAAACTTAGGACGTATTCACTATAGAATTACTAGAATGCTAATTTAAATACAGATTTTATAATTGGTTTTAAAACAAGATTTTTCTAAAGCATTACACGACTTTTTGCTTTGAATTCTTTCAATTACCTAAAAATGTTCTTCGATGTTTCATCAAATGAACGTTATTAAATCATCCACAGTCATATAAACGCAGGATTATAAGAAATAGTGGCGAATATTTTAATTACAGAACTATAAAAAGTTCAGACTATTAAAAGAACTAAAAAAATTCAATAATCGGTTGCAGGAATATAAATTCATATTTATCTATGCATTTGCATGAATAAAAAATTCTGCAGGAATAAAAAAATATTTTTATTTGCTTCGAGTTGAAGAACAAATTCATGTATAAGAAAAAGATTTACAGCTGCTTGGTAGCAGAAAATTTTGACCTCTATTTATTACTTCATAATTATTTTCAACAATTCAAACCCTATAGTGCTTATATATGCAAAATCATTTGTCCAATTTTTCAGGGACTAGTAATTCATTAGAAATGCAAAAAAATTTTCTCAGCGACTAAAACTAAAATTTCATTTATTATCTATTTTGTATTAAGGGTAGTAATTTACTTTGCTTACTTCATATAAATTAGTAACATTAAATTTTACTTCTATTTTGTTAATTAAAAATTAAAAAATAAAATTCGACCCACGTATAGGGAGGAATTTTTTTTAAAGGGAAAAAATATTCTTCCGAAACGAAAATTTTAACAATAAATTTTTATATCTGAAAAGTATGAGACATTTTTCAATAATAAAAAAAAACTTCTGTAAATTTTTTATTTGAACTTTAACCTTTTTATTGTAAAATTTCCTAAAATACTCGTAATAATATTGGAAATTCTATTTTTAATTAATATGAAAGAGGGTATTCATGGACGATAATTAAAATCAAAAATACGAATATTAAATTTCAATTCAATTGAATTATTTAGAATTCTAAATCACAAGTTCACATATAATTTCTAAGAATTTCGAATTTTCATTCTCATAAATTTCAATTTTAATTTTCTATAGAATTTAATAAAATAATTTTCATATTAAATGCGCCCGTGCATTTCAATAACTTCTTAAAAAAATTAAAGTTTACTGAATGTGTTCCTATTTTTAAAGGAAATCAATCATATGTGATTCATTAATTTGAAGATACTTTAAAAGTTTGTACACATATACTAATATAAATTGGAAGTTAATCAAAATAAAATTTTTACTTCCGTAAAACAAAATTCTCGGAAAATAAAAGTTTCATGCTTCTTGCGGAAATTCATAACGCCAACACAAGGAACAACTTACAAAACTTAATTTTTTTAATAAAAAAAAAAAACAAAAACTATAAACAGTTTCAGATTTCCAGGTTTAAAGGAAATAAGTAATGAAAATTTACAAAAACAAAAAGCGAATTAACTTAAAACTTTTATGGTTCCTGTATTTTTTTTTTTGTTTTGAAAAGAGAAAATTATTTTTGAATAAGTTTTCAATTGCAATTTTCAAAATTCTTTTTAAAAGTTCATTTTTTTTAAATAAAAATGCAAAAAAAAAAAAAAAACATGAAAACTTTTCCTGATTTTTTGATTTACAATATCCGACGTAACCAACTTCCGTTCAAAGTTTTTATTTTTTTTTCCAGGAAACTTTAAAACAATATTGAAGGTTAATAAAATGAAAAATTTAAAAAGCAGAAAGAAAAAAATATTAAAGTTTTCTTGTTTGTTTAATTTTTTTTTTTTAATTAAATTTTGAATAAAATTTTGCAACAATTAAAAAAATGAACTATAAAAAAATCTTGGACATAGAACTTTTCTAACAAATTGAAGATTCTTAAGACTAACCCTAAATATTCTTGTCGTTTGATTGAAACCATTGCGGCAGCTAGATGCATAATAATGATGATAAGAGTTTCTTTAATGCATTGAAATTGTGCATGAAAATATTACCGTCGTATTTAAATTTTCTATAATAAATCATGCACATATTTATACGATTACATCGCCCCGTGTCATTTACAGAATTAAAAAAATATACGATTCGGATTTACCACACAACATACAAACGTTTAATTAAAAACTTCAATCTAAATTTTTCATTAATTTTATATTTCTACAATAATTGCAACGATCTCTTGCTTAAAATCGTTTTTGGGACCGAATATTTACGATTTTAGGCGAAATAACTCAATGAGAGGTTCATTACCTAATTTTTATATTCGACTAAATTAAATATCAACATTCAATTGAAATTTAAAAAACCTTGAATTACTTGTTCAATAATTAATTTAATATTTAAGTTTTCGTACTTTTTCGTACAAATACGACTTTTAATTTTCGAACATTTTTTCTCACCGTTACCTTATACATTCTCCATAACATTCTCCTTTACATTCTCCATAAATAGTGACAAAATAATATTAAATAAATTGATAATTATCAAAAATTCATTTAGATAAAGAATAATAAAAACACAATTTATTTTAGGTCGAGTTTCTATAATTGAAAAAAAAAAATTATGCAATTTATTTCATTTTCTTCCTACATAAAATTTCACAATTCGATTAAATGTAAATAAATCAGAAATTTTCCATTAATTTTATTATTTTAAATTAATAATTATTTAATTGAAGCTTTTTAACTAAATATAATAGTAGTTATTTCTTTTATCTTCTCTACATATACGAGTATAACAAATATTTTTAATATTCTTTACTATTTTTAATTATTTTCATAAAATTCTTAAATGAAATATAATAATCAATTGTGCTTTTTTATTATGTATACTTATAACTAAATTTTAAATTAAATTTCTTTATTATTTTTCTATATTTTCTTTTTTAAGTACAGGGTGGTCTTGTTCTGGTGTTAAAGCTCTTCGATGGCTGATTCCTTTGAGTTTTTTACAAAAACATTGTAAATATGAGGCGTGAATGGGAGAAGTATAATTCGGACTTCTAGAGGTAGTTTAGGATTTTCTTTTGCCGCCGGGGACCGAGAGCCCTAAGCCCTTCTCATGACGATCCAAAGAATCTTTACTGAGTGATTGAGACTAAAACCTACATTAGCACTATATCTAGGAGCCTGACAAATTGCAGTATAACAACCACCTCAAGCCGCGAAACTACCATCGTGGTCATAAAGCCTTTTGTGAAGCATCTCAATCGTAAACGAACTAACGTCTCACGATAAATACTCTTCTGTTTTGTCCTCCTCCAGGCAAAAACAGCAGACCTCATCGCCTACCTTACCCATCCTTTTCCGATGCACCATCAGAGACAAGGTCCAGTGAGTACAAATGGCCAGTTCGCGGCCCCTTTGTCCTAAGAAAGACATAATTCCTTTTCGAGTGAAAGGGGCCCGAACAATTGCTCGTCATCGTTTTCGTATAATAGTTGTTAAAACACGAAATTTTTGGCCATAAAACTGATTTTTTTAAGGCGTTTAAGATAATTATCTCATAAAAATTCGCTATTTTTTTTTCGATGAGCGACATAATCCGCCAACTTTGACTTTAACAACAGATCCGCCCCGTATAAATATTTTATATTACTTATTATTATTTTCTATTTTAACATTAAATTAATTTTTTATTTTTAATTACATAACTAATATGTAATAATGATAATAATAATAATAAAAAAATGATAATATATAAATGCCAACTCAACTAATAATAAATGAATTAAAAAATAAATAAAAAAAAAAACTACTAAAGGGTCATTACTATAAAAATTCCAATGGTTCAACAAATAAACTTAAATCGCAATATAGTTATTGTGATGATGAAAATTATGAATATTATTCAAATAGTAATTACCAGGTAATTAAATAAGTAATTATATGTGTTGTATATACAAAAAACAAAATAAATAAAAAGAATATAACGTCATTCCTCTCTCACTCTCTCTCTCTGTCTTTGTCTGTTATATTCGTGTTATATAATTCCCAATTTATTTTTCAATTATTGTGTATTTTAAATGTATTTATGCATTCACATGAAAACAAAAACCAATTTAATATTAAATAATAATTATATTGTATATATACGTACATACATTAATTACAATATATTATGTACGTTTATTTTTCACCTACATACAATTTTATTATTTTTCATTTTGATATTATTCTAATAATAATTACAAATCTACATTTTATATATGTATAAATTCAATGTATACTCGTACGTACATTTTTTGTATTGTTATATCGAATAATATTGTTTTTGATTTCACATTCTAAAAATATTTTCTATAATAAAGAAAAATAGTAAATAAATGGTTTTATTTTTAATTTTTTTTTTTTAAATTAAATTGAAATGTAATTTTTTTTCTCTCATATAACTTTTTTTTATTGTTTCGTCAATATGTATATTTTCTCTAACATAAAATACCTAACCAATAATTCTAATAAATGGTAATCATCAGAACAAGCACATGTTTTTATTATAGTTTGATATATAACGGGTAATTTTCATGTTGTTATTTATGACATTTCACATGTGATTCGTTGGACAGTATGTTGTCAACGTCAAATCAATTTAGTGTAAAAATAGAACCAAAGAGAAGAAGGAAGACAGCGAATGATTTCCCTTGTCAGTACTGTACTTTACAATAGCAGAACGGCAAAATCAGTTTTTCAGTATGGGTATTTTTGAAAATACAGTTCTTAAGGTTAAAACTGCAAAGCTTTAAAAGCCCTACATTGTACATGAGCATTATCAAAAACATGCTATTTCTTTATTAAATATAATGTGATACATAAATGGAAACAAATGATGTCAAAAAAAAATCGGCAAGGATAAAAAAACAGGATTTTACCGTCGTCCGGTAAATTCGCAGTGGTAATATCGCTTCATTCTGGATAATCCCATTTAGGTATATATATAGTATGTAATCGATACGAATTTGGAAATTTCGCCGCGAATAATCGCTCTTCTTCCATTTTTCATTCGTTATCGGTCATTTAAAATGTTGTTTTGGGCGAATTTGCAGTTGCTTTGTACTTTTCTTTGTACTGTAAGGTAATGTTGCAAAAAGTATATATGAGCAGCATCTGCGGGCTCAAATAAAACACAAATTTCAGACATTCAAACGACGACTGTTGTTGAGCAACAGTGTCAGAAAATTAATAAAAGTACTGTTATGTAATTTTAATTATTATAATTAATAATTATCGTTAATGTTACAAGTTATTAAAATTCTATATGTCAATAAATAGAAGATATACATATTTACAAAACTTTAAATTATCATCACATCATAATTTTTTAATTCAAAAATTTATTGGAAAAGGTATTTCATCACCTTCAATTATGCATTTTCATCATTTTAAACTTTAAAAAAAAAGAAGGCTGTATGATCTTCAAAACTTCTCAATATATTGTAAAAATTTTAGGCAATAAATGTAATTAACAAAATCCGAGGGTATGAGAATTTAAGTCTCGCATTTAACTTTTAGGAGTAGCTTAATATTAATCAAAATATTCTAAAAAAATTCAATTAATGAATTGAAAATATTAAAATTAATAAGGTAAACTGAACAAATTCAGTTCCCATATGATATTATTATATTATGTGCTCAATTACTTGCACATTAATTACTTATGCAGTTAAACAGAATTTGATTTGAACTCTAGACTATAGAGTAAAATTTGTGTTACATCTACATATGCAATTAAAATTAATCTACATGTGTTTTATATGAATTAAATGAAAAAATTTATTTCAATTTTAATATTGAAATTTTACAAAGATGTAAAACTATATTCGTGGATTAACTATATAATATAATGTTAAAAAAAGTGAAAAAAAGAAAAAAAACTAAAAATAAAATTAGTGCAATTTGTAGTTGATCTAGCATACCTTAAGGTATGTTCAATTCGTCCATACCTAAAATACCGATATGGTATATGCTCTTCCGAACTCTTGTTATATTGATACTCCAAGGATTTTGAAAAAAAGAAAATTTTCATTCTTCGTTGCTTACCCTACTGCACGTAACGTAAGTGGTTTAAGATTATAGCATGTAACGTAAGTGGTTCACACAAATCGGTTCATACAATTTGCACATTTTTTCGAAAAAAAAAAAAAATGATTACATATTTGATTAGTCGTGCCAATACACAGACATACAGACATGAGTAAACTTAATTAACTTTCGTTTTAGTATCACTTTATAAACGGTGCACAATTTTCGCAACACCTAACACAATTTACATACTTAAATTCCTATTTATATGTGACAAGGAATTTAAAAAACTTGATGCACATAGAAATGAATATTCAACTTAATATTGAGTTGAAAAAAAACCTTATATTCACCAGAGCTACCGGAATATTTTAGCGGTTGAACTAGTTTACTTTTTTTAGTATATGAAAAGGAAAAAGTAACTGCACGAACATAATTTTGTAATATAGAAAAAAAGAGCCATCATATGAAACAAAATTCTATTTAGTACGGAAAGCATTCATAAAAAGTCAACAAAAAAAAACATAAGAATATGCAAGCATAAAAAGCTCAATATAGTTGGGAATATCCTTTTCATATCACATATACAAATGAATTCTGAATTTAATGGGTTATTAAAATCTATTCAGTAAATTTCACGTTTGTAGATTTCATTTGAACAAAATTATATTTGAACTATACTTGAAATTAAAATAAAATATTTAAAAAATAAAATTTTTTTAATAGATTTTTATCATCCATTGAATAATTTAAATTTCTTCCGGGGTTTTGATTTAAAAATAAAAAAAAAAATTTAACAAATTATTTGTTATCAATTTTAAAAGTATGTATTGGCGCGGAAAATGTAAAAATTAAATATTAAGTAAATATTTTTAAATATTTTAAAATTTAATTTAAATAATTTTATTATTTACACCTAATCAAACGTAATTTATTTTAAAATGAATTTTAATTGAAAGTAAATTATAATAGAGATTTTCATAAACGCGCGCTGCATCACAATAACTGCGACACTACAAAAACATAACGTAATGAATACGCAACATAAGTGGTTTCCTAGTACATACTTATATCAAATGCATACAATTGACGTTATTCATGACTAATTCAATGTGACATGACGTACAAATCATAAATTCTTATATACGTTGCCAACGCAACTGATTATTATTTTAATATTCTTTTTCTTTGCATTTCTTTAAAAGTTGATGCACAAGTGATCTTATTTATCATTTTATATTTCAAAATTCTAAATTTTCCATTTTATTGAAATAATTTTAAAAATTTCAATTGCGAAAATTTTTTAATTGTAAATGATTGTCATTCAAATAAATTAAGTGATTAAAACGATCGTCAAATCTTTGACATACCAAAAAATGGCCATATTTTTAATTATTCTATATATAAAATCAAATAAAAATTTATATAGTTTAGCTGCGCTACTAATATACTAATTTCGCTCCATTGCGAAGATTTAGCAATGTATAAAATTTAATAACAAGAATACAGGGCAATTTTCACTCTTACTGACTTTAATTGTGCAGATATATCGCAATAATACAAATAATGTATATTTTATAAAAATTATTGATTTAATAATAAGAATTACAAGTTAATTAAATACGCAATTTTATTTCTCTGACAATAAATTTTTTTAATTGCAATTTAATTAAATTAATTATTTTTAATTATTAGTATATAATTATAATGTATATTAATTACATTAAGAATTTAATTTTCTTTTTGAAATTTAAATATTTTATATTATGTTATTACATAACGTAATTAATTATAAATAAATTGCACGTAAATTAATTATAAATATTTCAATTTAAAATAAATTCAATATACAAACATTACAGATTAACTATAAAAATTTAAAAATTATTAATTAATTATGTGTTGGGTAATAATATCAAGTTAATTAACTAAAATAATAATTATATTCAAAAGTTTTAATTACTTACTTATAACAAAAAATTTTAATTTGTAAAATTCAAATTTTAATATTTCATATTATTGCAAGAGATATTTAATAAAACGCGTTTCTGAAGAACAAATGAAGAATAATAATATATTTAAATATATATGTATATTTTGTTCTTTTTGTATACTTCGGCTTCATTTAGGGGCTGGCTGTTTTTGCTAAAACATAAAATGAAATCATAATTAAATTACTGATTTCCAGATCTACCAAAAAGCACTCATAATCCGGTTCTGGTTACATCCAATTACAATTCAATATAAATGATATTAATAAACAAAACCTTTCAATTATTTACCCGTAGATTCGAATCAATGTCCGTTAAACAGATTTACAATAAAATAATATTCGTCTAGCCTATTAACAAGTGACCATATTATTTAACATAATACTGTCACTTGTTAACTCTACTGTAATCAATATACCGTATAAGGACTACAAAGGCATTAAATGCAGTAAATTTTAAACAGCATAGAATTCGAATAATTAATTAAATTTTCAAAAGGTTTTTTTTTTTAAAAATTGAAAAAGAACATCCGCGGGAATTCATATTAACTAAACTTATACTAATTTAATATTAAAGAGCTGAATATATTAAAAATATATTAATTACTAAGGTCTCATATACACTTATAATACTTAAGTGTATATTTGAAAAAAATAAAAAAATATTGAAGATCCTTATAATAAATTTCACAAGTGTACTGTGGAGTTTTTTAATTTTCATTAAAAAATTGTGTCTCGTTCCGGTTTTTTTTTATTTTTGTTGAGTGTGGTATATTATTTTTTTTTTACAATACACATATAATTACAAACTAAATTTAAATATTAAAATTACGTGCCTATGTATGTGTACTAATAAAATAATCCTTTGAATTCTTTTAAAAACATATTTTCAAAAAAAAAATATGATAAAAATTTGAGTTTCACAGTGCTTTACAAAAATTTTGACAAATTTCGGCAAAATTACAAAAAATTAAATTTAATACCAGTTTCAATATGTAATTTTTTATGAAAAGTATGCAAGTTAACAAAATCGAACTGATTAGTGTCGAAAAATATTCACATTAATTAAATTATTTACGTTATAGAATAACAGATGACTCCAATTAAAATCATTTGTGCCACTATCTCGTGTACTTCAGTTAATGTTATTGTACGTTGGATTAATGTCACCAGTTCGAAAACTTGTATACTGACAGTCTAAATAAAAATATCATGAAATTTAATCTGGTCCAGCTCCCTTTAATCAAAATAATTTCGTTTTCTAAAGATGCGAGAGTTTGCAAGTAAAGTTATTCCTGAAAACTGTTCCCAAAAGTTTTTTTCGAAATTTAGATTTGTAGATTTTAAGGGAACTGAGTGGGGCAAGAGTGAACCGAATGGTACCAATCTACCAATCTAGTTGAAATCTATGACTCCTCGAGCCAATATTTCTTGCCTTTAAATTCACTTCTATGAGACTTGGCCTGGAAGTCTAATGATCGGTTCTTTTTGTATTTTAACAGTTAACTTTCAAACACATTGTCTAGTATTTTAATAAAGCACTGCAATTAAACTAAATAAAAATTATAAAATATGCTCATTTTTATCATTTGCAATTCAAAAAAAAATTTTTTTTTCCTTTTTGTTTTTCTTGTCCTTTTGAATTATTTTTTTTTTTTTGTTTTTCTCTTTTTAAAATATTTAACACTAAAACTCTTTATTAAAATTCTTTATATTTTATTATCATTCACTTTTATTCACTCTCATATTTTTTTTTACATAAATAATGTTATGGATAACTAACTCCTTTACTTCTTTCAAAACAAAAACAAAAGAGTAAGAAAGAAAAAGTGTTCCATATTTTTTAATTTCTATACTTACTTACCAAACTTACCATAACTTCAGTATATACCTTACTCACTTCTTCTAGTTATTTTAAGAACCAAAAAAAAACAAATTCTTTATCTAGAAGGAAAAGAATTTTATAATAGAGAAACTTTTCTCTTTTTTTTTTTTTGTGTTAACATACATAACTATTTTTGATATTTTCATTATAGGGTATTATACCATCAAGTAGCAACTTAAGAAGACAAAGTACAGTCATAGGTAAAGAAAGTTCACCTGAATTAGAATTGGAAGAATCTGAAGATAATGAAGATGATACAGAAGAAGAGAAAGAAGCACGTAAAGTTAGACGATTGGAACGTGAAATTGTATTCTTAAGAACAAAACTAACAAAATTATTAGACAAGGAGATGGCAGCTAAAAAAGAAAAAGCAAATATTAAAGAAGCAATGAAAAAGAATCAAACTTTGTTAAAGTAAGTCAAGAAAAAAATCCAAAAAAAAAAGAAAAAATTGTAGTTTACAATGAAAAGGTAAAATTTATATAACTTGACTTCAAAGCTAACTGAAGTGCACGACAAAAGCAACGACGAGGACACGACAACGACGGCAACGATGACAACTTGAAAAAGTGATTTACCCTTTTTCCTTTTTTTTTCTTTTAATTTATTATTCACATTTAATGAGTATAATAGCATGCTCTGGCTGTTATGAACACTCTTTATTTATGCATACATATATGCAAATATTCATTCCACTAGTACGTACTTGTATTATTACTAAACATATATATATATATAAGTAATACCCACTTATATAATCAAGTATTTACATTTACATAAACGCACATATATGTATGTATGCAGGGTGATTAAGTAAAAGTATAAATTAAAGGTTTGAAAAACTGAACAAAATTTTGTAAATAAAAAATTTTAAAAATTTCCAAAAATTTCATGCGAAAGAGTGGGGTTAAAGAAAACTAAAAAATTTGGAAGTTCGAATGCTTGTGTTTCCGAAAGTACATAAAACCAAAAAAAAAATATAAGTTTACTTTAAGCCCTTTACTGGACTTTTCGGAATTTTTTTGTTTAAACCTTCTACGTTTTTCCGGACGGAAGTTATAAGCGAAAAGAACTTGAGCAAGTGGAAATTTCGCGAAAAACTGTTGAGATTTTGCACCTAGTTTCAAACTTTGAGGCACTGAACCACCCTGTACATTTAATACGCTAAATTCACTTTTGGTGAACATTTAATTTTTTTTTTTTTTTTTGAAAGGATTTAAATTTAAGTTTGTCCTACACAGTATATTTTATGTTTTGCAAAATATTAACTAACATGGCATTAAATATACATATACATGTATACATTTATAAAGCACATAACGGTGAGAATTCCAAAAGTGGTTCATTCAAATTACTTATTCTAGTCTGATAAATAAAATTTTTTTCCCTATTTACTTATTTATTTTACTGAGTGTTTAGTGTTTACTTAAATTTTTAATAAATATTCCGGCTAAAATATAAATATTCATTGCAATTAAATAAAATATAATTTTAATCTTTTTTAATTTATGACCTTAGAAATTTAATTTTATGAATAAATGAATATAATAATAATAATTCTGAGTACCGATATCGTTCAAAAATTTAAGCACACTCTATAAATTTTTTCTCTCCCAAGGGAGATAAAAACTAATAACTACTACAATATTTGGTTTCTTATTAAGATGCCATTTTTTTTAAGCCATCAAATTTGAAATCATATTTAAAACCATTGATTTATATTTATTAATGGTTCTAATATATTCGATCCTTTAGCATGCCTTATAAATCTGTAATTAGAAATTTGAACCTAATATAAATTACTAAAATTAGCACTAATTTCTATTAAAATTAGAAAATTCTCTAAGACCAATATATTTTATTTTAAATAATAAGAAACTAAATTCAGAGTTACGAATTCAATTGTGAACAATCTTGAATTAGAGGCAACCTATCTATAGTTAACACTCTGTAAATAATACACCATGGAATAGAGAACATTTACTAGACTATTATAAGTATACGATTAAGCACAATTTTAGTACATATAACCTTATAAATGTACGAATATAAATGCAAAATACAGATATTTTCAAATTTCATACTGACTTTAGTATTCAGATACACACACTTGTACATAGTATGCAAATTTATTACCTTAAAGAAATGCAACTAAGATTATGTTGAAAAGGATTAAATGAATTTAACTAGATATTTTCTTCGCCTCATAATAATAATAAATGTATGACAAGTAAATTATGAGGTAGGTTTTTTCTTATCATCAAATAAGTATTAAGATTGTAAAATGTGCACTTACTAAAGTGGTATACGAAAAGATATTTGCATATAAATTAAAATATTTTACCCCGTTTAACAAGAAAGAAAAGAATTAATATCGATTATTATAAATTCCCATCCGGAATTTTCTTTCATAATAGATTAAATTCCATTTTTTGCTTTATTATTTGTAAGAGTTCCTATTAACGCTGACATTAAATATTAAGGACTTGTTAATAAATTTTATTAATAAATTCACTATTTTCCAATGACACACAGCCTGGAAACCACGAGTATCCATATACACATACTGTATAAGTTAGGATTAGACCTAAAACTTTTTATTTATAGGCAAAAAATTTAATTGAAATTTTGCATTCAAAAATATTTTAATGTTGTAATTTAAATTAATATAAAAAATACTAACATAATTTATAAAATTATTAAAAATACAATTTAATGTTTTTTAATTAATTTTAGACAAGAAACAAAGAAATTGAAAAAATTGGAAAAAGAAGTTGCAAAAATGGCTGCAACAATGACATTAGACGAAGATGACGAAGAGAATGGACTCGATGAAAAAGATGAAGCCGAAGAAGACGAAAAAGAAGAAACGGTAAATTATTAAACTCGCATTAATATTCATAGCATTTCTCATAGATTAAAATTTCTATTTTCTAATATATTAAAATAGGAATCTGAAGAATCAGAATCTGAATCAGAAGAAGAAACTGAATCTGAAAGTGAAGAATCTGAACCAGAGGTAAAAATTTGGATTTCTTTTTATTTTATGAAATTTGTAAACTATATTTTATCTTTGTTTTTGTCTAGGATGCATCAAACGAAAAGAAAAAATCTAATTTGGAACCAAGAGTTAAAAAGCATGAAGGACGTTTAACTGCATTGAAAAAGACTAATTTCTTATTGCAAACAAATGTTGATAGATTACAAGATGAAATTAATATAACTAGAGAGAAAGCAGCTGATTTACAACAGGAATTGGATGCAGTTTTAGCTGGATTTTAAAGAAACACAAGAAAACAATTAATTAATCTATTATATAAAATTATTACTATTGTTATTGCAATTTTTTTGTTCAAATATGTAGGGTTTTTTTTGTTTTTTTTTTATAAAAATCGATTTTTAAAAATATATAAAAGTTATAGAGAATTTTTCTTTCAAAAAAATATCATTAAATTTACCAATTCCAATTCAAATATTTATCAATATTTCTTTTACAAATTCACACACATAAATATATTGAATACGATTCATAAAATTATTTATTTCAAAAGGTTAAGGTCACTGACTATAATAACAATATACTTATATAGCATTAAACATACATAAGTATGTATGTTACAAGAGATTATTATTGTTGAACACGATAAGTAATCGATATTCGTGTCGTATTAAAATTATAAAATATAATATAAATAATAGCTTCCAAGTCAACAATATTTGAAAATTTAAAAATGCTTTTATGGTAATTCATGCATGTTAAATAAAATTTTTAACAATTTAAGTTTTAAAAATGTATAAGTACATGGGTATATGCGGTTTTTCCAACTAAAAGTTATAGAATTTGCTTTTATGTTGTCGGCCACATTATGCTCTGCTCATTATATTATTATATATTAATATTAAGTAGGTATTTGACTTATTGCAATTTGATAGCTTAAAAGAAAAACAAAATTTATTGTTATATACTATTGATTAGCTATTGATTTAAAGTAAAAAATATACCTAATCACCTGCCAACAGAACGTCAGGTCATCTACGTCATACTCACGCCATTGAGGCATAGGGCTAAACTAAAACACATTGCATATGTATCATATATTGAGCAGACTCATACCATTCAGGCAAAGAACTAAGCTATAACACAATAAATTATTTATATTTTAATGTTATCTAACAAAAACAGTAGGAATTGTTACGTAGTTTAAAATATGTTTTTTTGTTACAAATTTTAGCAAGATTTTTAATGCACATGCATGGTATACACATACATACATACATAAGTAACTATATAAGTAACTAATAACAAAAACCAGCTGCAATATTTTAAATACTGAATTAAAATATGTCACACACTACATACAACATATTTATTTGCAATACAAGTTACCAAGGGAACTCTCGCGTTATTTTTAGGATGTCCTTAAAAAAAATATGTTACAATTACAAAATAGAGGACATGCGGTAATAAATTTTATATTAGATATCTACATTACATGCAGATATGTATAGTATGTACAGCTAAAATTATAAATTTATAGACTATATGAAAAGTATAAATAATATATTATCATAATAAAAAAAAAATAAATTACCTAAAAGTAATTCGGAATAAATTCCTTAGTAAATAATTAGTTATTATTAGATTTTGATGAAGAAATCCTAATTACACATTAAAAAATTTATAACACTTTACACAAAAATATTTATTACATACTTATTATATATGAAAATCAACACTTATTAAAACTAATAAATATTATTTATTACACAATATTTTATTTTTTCTTAATTAACAGCTTACTTTTTCTTTAATTTTTTTAACAAAACTTTTAAATTCACACTCAAAATCGATTTGATTTTTTTTTTTACATTTCAAATCAAATAAAAACAAACAATTTCTTGTGTTTTGGTCACATCACATTTGACATTTGAGATGCTAACGTAATTTTGTTTTTCTTCTTTTCATAATTTTCTTAATTTCTTATTTCATTTTCATTTGTTTTTTTATTTAGAAAATAGCGCTGTACATAGTGTAGATTTTAGGAACTAAAAATGAAAATTGTTTCAGAAACGAAACTTTATAATTCTCATTCACAATAATCATAAAACAAAAATATTTTTTCACACAATGAATAATTCACAATTCTTTTTTGAAATTTTATTTAAAAGAATGAAGCATTGTAATTTTGTGTTCGAATTATATTCGAATTAATCGCGCCCATAATTGCGCTTCATTCATACCAATCCTATTTATATACATGTTTACTTGTATTTTATCGGAATATTTTCGCTTTGCCTAAGAAAATCGCTCTTTTTATTTTGTCACCTTTACTTCAAAATATAATTTTTGGAAAAAATTAATTGATAAATTGTTCGCTTGCTTAAGCATAAATTAACAAGTTATAACTATTATTTATGGTAATGACAGTACTATGCGAATTTAAAACTTGAACAATAATGGTTAATACAATTAGTTAACTAATCAAGGGTAAGTACGCATACATATGTGTATTTAATTTTGTTTAGAACTTATAACTTTAAAAATTTAATTAAATTTCTATAAAGTTCGAAAAATTATAAAATTTACAAGCTCACATAATTTTTATGCATGAGACGTCGTCGGGGACGAATTTATAATTTGTCAATTAATAAAATACTCTTCTATAATATGCTTAGCTTCTTAGATATATTTTTCAAGTTCCTTTAAGCTAATGAAAAATATAATTGTAACGTGTAGAGAAAAAAGGTAAAAAAAAACCAAATTTGATTATTTTCAAAATGAAATTTACATGATCTTTCTTTGTTGGTTCAAAATAAATAAAAATTGGTTCAATGCATGCATTAGTTATAATATAAGTAGTTAGAGTTGTATCTAAAAACGTTACAGTAGACTTCAATAAACAATAACTAAAATTCACAAGATGAGTTCAATGTGGTTAAATAGGAGTATGTTTTTGACATTATTTGCATTCCCTTTTCATGTTCAAACTGTATTGGAAGTATTTTTTCCACCTACTGGAGATCATCTACACATTTCTCCGAAGTAATTTAGCTAAACCCAGTTTTGGTTGCTCAAAACGTACTAGTGGATCTGAAATATCACATAATAAATGTCAATTCTTTACATAAAAATTTAATTACGTATTCGTTACATTGACACTTTACAGTACCTTTTCTCTAATATATCAAAAAATACATAAACATGAACTTCTTTTTTAATTTACTTTTTTGAAAGTGCTGTTATGTCAATCTGAAACAAAACGAAATCGAAACACTGGAATATAAAATTTTTTACAATGCATTGGAAACTTAAGTAAAATTCAATCATATTCATTTACTTTTCAGTCGTCTAGTAAAAGTTGTGAAGAATTGTTAAAAGAATTGAAATCGTGAAAATATTGAAAGATATTTTTTTTTTGAAATTTTTTCTTGTATGTATAACAAAAAAGAATTTTATGTAAAATATTTTAAATTTGTTAAAAATTTAAAAGTAAGTGCTTTTCTTTTAAAAGTTAATAAAGAGTGAAAGAAAGAATTAATAAAATTTAAATGAAAAATAACAATTTTGAAATTGGTCTTGAGAAAATGTAGACATTTCTAAGGTTTTTTTCTTAAAATTTTTGCTTTTTTGTGTTGCTTTGGTGTTAAAATTGATTAAAATAGTAAAATTTAATAAATGATACAACTGTATGGACTTATTTGGATATTATAAGAAAATTTATATGAATATTTTTAATATTGTAAAATGGCTAAATTGAAAAAGATGGTTTTTTAATGGAATTTAAAGTGAAAAAAAAATTTTCACCCCCCACTTTGTTTGATCGTAAGTGTGTTTTTAATATTTCCTAGAATTATGAATGAAACAATAAATTGGAAATTAAAACTGGAATGATTGGAATATTTACATACACATTGAAAGTCTTCTTAGAAAAACGTTTTTGAAAAAAATTTTGTTGAATTATAGAAGATGAAAGATAAAAAAAAAGTTTTATACTTAAAATTTTAGGAATTTTTCATAATTTATATTAAATTTTTTTTTTGTTATAAAATTAATTAGTTATAACAATTATTGGAAACTCATTTAATTTTGTTTTAAATGCTTTAATTAAAGACCAAAGGTTAATAAATATGTGTGTATTTTTAAAATATTTTATTTTGGTAAGCAGCTACTAGTCTACTACATCATTTTGATATAAATAAAAATTTTTTTTTTTTAATTTACGTTATTAACGATTTAACGTAAAATTATATATATAAGTACAAAAAAACATATATACATATAATGGCACATATAAAATTTTGTATACAAAATCAACACATTTATGATTTTCACACAAACACAAAATATTTTTACACATATGGTGTGTATATGTTTGTATGATTGTATATGCATAAGGCCTTAGGAATTATATAGGCATGAGGCATTTTTCTTTTTTTTTTTTTGTATGAAATTGTTATTGGGCACTTTAATGTTAAATATTAATTCTGAGAATTAGAAATTCTGAGATTTCTACTTTCGGCGTAATCTAAAAAAATAATGAAAATGGAAAATGTTTGAAATTTTTTCTATAATTTATAAATATGTATGTATGGATTTACATATTGTATTACATTTAATATTGTACATATTTCATATAAATATTATTTATCTACATATATAAATATAAAATATAATGGATACAAAATATGCGTTCAAAAATTTTAATAACTTTGTATTGTTCTTGAATTTTTTTTAATATTTATTCATTTAAAATTTATAATAAATTCTACTTAATTTCTATTTCCAAGTTAGGATTGAGTTTCAAAGTAAGACGTACACATTTATTAAAGATATTAGCATTGTGTTTTTATGGGGCCCCTAAAATTAATATTATATTAAAATATTTCTACTTTCTAGGTACAGAGGTAGAGATACAAAAGTAATAAGTATGTAGTATACCTACATACTGGATATTTTCTCAAAATAATTTTGCCAAACATTATTTCATCAAATTTCTGAGCGTTTCCCAATCGACTTGTTTATTCATTTAACTTGCATTTAAATGATTCCGTTTTGAGCTGAGAAACCATAAATTCAGGTCATAAAAATTGCAAAAATTAATATTTTTTAAAACACATTTCAATATATTAACTATAAGTATATGTTAATATACAATGCTATGTCTCAAAAATTTTAAATATAAATCACCATAATTAGAAGCACTTGTTTGTGTAATTATAGATAGAATCCGTCTATCAGTTAGTGTCAGTACGAGCCTAAATTTTTAAATACTTTTTGTAAGAGACTACATTTTGTATACCCACATTTTTGATAAATTACTTATGTATATCTAAATCTAAGTTTTTTTCTGTTTAAAAATTTAGTGTTATAGTTGCGTACTACCAGAATCAGTTACGTACTACCAGAACCAGTTACCTACGCTAATAATTTTGATTAATTAAGCTTAGTTATACAATATTACATTCGGGATTATAGATATTAACGAAATGTTTACACTTGTTTTTGTCAATATTTCGCAATATGCATTCGCTTATAAGTAGGTACACTTAATCTGTTCTTGGACTAACCTCATATCTCATAGGAACGTTTTGTATTTTTGAATTTTACAACTTATGTTTTCGAAAAATATATTCAATCCTTATTTTCTAGAATATCACACCTTAGTCTTTTTATTTTTTGCTATTTTATTTCATCTACTTACTGTTTACATATGTATATATGGTTAGTTGACAAATGTATTGCTTAAATCATTTTATTATGAATAACAACAACGTAAATCCCTTAATATATAAATATTTTTTTTTTAAATTCGAAATTACTGACGTAAATCTGATAACATATTCTAATCATATGATTAGCTACAATATGAAATAAAATTTATTATCATTTTTGAAATAATTGATTTTTTTAGTGGCGTTATACTTAACAATTGTGTGTGGTCATTATATTAATACCATGCTTATAACTATAGAATTTATAATAGAAAGTTAATAAATAAGTACTTAAGTGAGTTTGAGTGGGTATTTACTCACATATTCGGGTTTTTTTTTCTATTTTTTTTTGTGAATAAGTCAAGAAATCCTTCATTTTCAACGTCATAAATGATAACAAAAAAATATATTCATATATAAATAAAGAATGACGAACTCAGCTTGCTTCTTATTCACCAAATAATAAATTCGATAAGTGAGTGTTTATATTATATTAATTGTCCTTGTTGAGGTTAAAATCTATATTTAGTTAAAAATAATCAAAATTAGTTAAGAGAGATTAAATGTCAAATATATATACTTGCGTGATTGTAAAAACTTTTACTCATATGTACTTAATATGTCAAAATATTTTGGTAAGTAATTTTCACAGTTTGAAAATTTTTTATTAGTTTGTATAACAAAGTTTTGGGAAATCCAAATTTGAAAATCAAAGGGCATAATTTGTAGTATGATATCTAGCACCTTGAATTACTTATAAATTAAGTGAAATTGAATAAAAATAAAATATTCATTTTGAATTCAAAATTAAAATTTCTAGAAGTTAGGGTTGTTGGTTATTGGTATTTCTACTTTACAATTGTCGCAACCATAAAAATTTGTATTATTTTATAAAGAATTTTCCTGATTAAAATTCATTTGTCAGGTTTTTAATTGTGTTAACAAAAAAAAATTTATGAAGAAAACATTTGTTTTACATTTTATAAATTTTAATTAGGTGGGTAGGTACTTATGCATTAATTAAAATCTTGTTTACTGCTCAGTTCCGACTGCTATCATTTTGCTAACAATTGTTATTACATACACACGTTAATAATTATAGAAATAAAACTTTTAATTTTAGTTCGTTTAATAGGTTCCGTTTAAAAATATTCAAAAAAATTTTAATTGGCGAAGTTTATACGTTCAGGGTGCACGTCATTGGTTTTCGTCAAAATGCTGTTCAGTTTCATCACTCTATTTTTACAACAACATACACTTTGTATGTGACTTTAGTGAAAAAGTACGTGAACGCTGATCGTGCAATTTTCGCTATTTATAGTTAAAATTATTTTCTGATGGTTAGATTTTCCTACTTAGAAAAAAAATAGAATAATATTCTCATTACCTTTTAGCTTATCATTGTTTTGAAAATTATTTATTGAGGAACAAAATTATTTCATCATAAGTACATAAATTATTTTTCAATTTAATTTTGCAGTCGGGTCTAAGGTTCAAAAAGAGAATTATTTAAGAGAACCATTGTAGCGAAAAGGTAAAAAGTCAAATTTAATTATGGTAAATATTTAGTAAAAAAAAAATTTTTTTTATTGCCTAGTTATTTTTTACGTTCTACAGGTAGTTATTCCGAAAATTTTTTTATTACTTATTGCTAAAAATAAGTAATTTTTTTTTTTGACATTGTTTAAGTAAAATAAAAAAAAATTCATGAGTAAAAATTTATATTAAAATTTTAAATTAATAAAAATGTACTCAAAATAATTTTCTAGTTTTGGAATAAGGGTTACTTAGTAAGTTAGTTTACTGAAGGTTTATTGAGTAAACTATTTAGAATTTATACTTATAAATTTTGGCATTGAAATTTTAATTGCAGGTTATAATTATTATAAAATTTAATTTCTTTTAATAAACTTTTAATTAGAATTATTTTAATAAACTGCTCAATTAGAATTCTAGGCAAAAATTTCACTAAATATTTACTTCGTTTAAAAAATAATTAAGTAAAAGCTATTATAAGTAACTCGCCTTTTATTATTTAAAGTCAAATTTTATTAATATTATCATACTACTTAAGGTTGTAATTCACTATCGATGTTAGAACGAAGAATGTCATATACTTGTTAAAAAACTGAGAACTCTGAATTAAAATTCAATAAAGAAGGTGGCTGCGAAAATTGATTAGTGGATACAAAATGAATCCACTAGTTAATAACAAAACTACTAACTACTTATTTATGCTGTGTATTGTGTTCATCAAAAATTAAATTACCTAAGAAGAAGTCTTCATTTCCCCACTAAGTAATCGGAAAAGAAACTAACAACTACTTAATAGCTTGGATAATATTTTAAAAATTTTTTTCTAAGTATACTTACGTTTGCTTTAATATTTATGAGTTCATTATCAAGTAACAATTTATTTATTAAGTGATAATAAGATAGGAATCATATCCGGCGACTAGTATTGGAGCTTTTTTTATTACGATATAATTAAAATTATATTCTAATAAATGATTATTAATTAAAATTACTTAGGCATATAGCAATTTATCAAACATTCCTAAAGTTGTTAATTACTTAAACTTTTCAAGTTTAAATAATCATTTATTACATGTACATTTACAGGATGATTCAGTAATGAGAACAATACTATATTCCATCGTTTAGAAAATCAAAAAATGAAGAAAATTTTTGTTAGGAAGTAGATGTCAAATATCAATAAATTATTTAAAAGACAGGGACTTAAAAAAATTTGAGCCTCGAGCAAAGTTTTTTTTCAAAGAGCTCATTAAAACTAGGTATTATAACTCGATTTCCTAACCGTTGTGGTTTCGAAATGCTAAACAATAATTTTGAGAATATTTCTTTTGTTTTTTTTTACCCCTAAAATTTTTTAATGTATGTAATTCCGAAACTGCAGCAAATTGGAAATTAAGACATGTCTTTTCTTAAAAACCTCAATGAGCTTTTACAAAAAAACTTCGTTCGAAGCTCATATTTCGCATAGACAAAATTATGAGGGCCAATAAGAACTCCACCACTTTATCAAATTTGCTTAAAATCCCCATGTCTCGGAAACCATTGAGATTCGACATATCAACTTTTGAGCAAAAT